GTTCCCAGATAAAGTAAACCATCTTAGGCAAACGCCGTGCCAAAGCGGCTTGCAGTAAAGAGTAATACAAGCAAGAAAACATTGTTCGGCTTGGCTTACTAGTGTATTGAAAAAAGGGCAGTCGAGAAAGCAGAAATTTGCTGTTGCGATGGCAGGAAGAGGAGAGGAAGAAACCTTTGCGACTGCACACACCTCTGCTACTAAGATTACACAGGTGCTGTTATCAATGGCTTCTATTCATCATCCATTGTCAGCTACCCAGGCTTTTTAGAATGCCTCTGCAGAACAGGGATCCTGCTTAGGGAGCAGGGAGCACGTCCGGGACCTTGTGGAACAAGGAGGCAGCCCCAGAAGAGGTGCTGCTCTGGTATGTGCAGTTCGCATAGCTCTTGTAAAGCATAATGAGATTTCCTTCATCCCTCTCTACTCTGCTTTCCCCCTAAGCTGCCCATGTGAAGGGGCCACCTTTGCTCTACGAAACCCCATTCGCCCCACCCAGCTCAACACAGCATTAGCATCAAAACGCTCTTCTTGGCACCGGGGCAGCGAGCGAGCCAAGCAGGGGTGCCCCAGCACTACTGCAGCTAACTCCGCTGAAGGGCAGGCGCAGAGCTAAGCAAAGCCTGAGCAAAGATCTGGATGGACGCTGCTTGCTTTCAGGGCCGTGAGAGGAAGAGCAGGGCTTAGCACCCCCATAGGGAAGACAAAGGAACACATTTCTTACTTAAAAAGAAAAACTTTATTTTGATACATTAAAAAATCTATACATTTCTTAGACTAAAATACAGTTTTGCATCAGTATTCTGGCACAATGTCAGTTTACACAGAAAATCTAAGATTAGATCAGCACTGTTAATTTCCTTTCTCTTCCTGCATTCACAGCCTGCAGTATAAAACATTTCAAGTTCTCAGACAACAATGAACAGTGTCACATTTACTTTTCCCATTCCCAAAGGAGGTGGCATTCCACTGGAAAAAGGAGCACTTGTTAGTTGATCTTGATTCAATGTAAATCACCAAACCAGTTCAGGGGTTTGACTGCCCTGTTAAGAAGTATGAGTGAGAGAGGATGAAAAATTTGTTTCCAGATGAAGCTTTGATGGACTGTGACAATGCAAGTACTGTCAAGCCTTTAAAATCTGTTCAGAAGATTTTCCTTTTTCCTTAGGGTGGTTGCTATAATCAGCAACACCATCCACCACATAGAAATAACTCCCTTCTATAGGTATAGGATTCCACCTTCTTTCTCGCTCTGAAGAGCTCCAGAGCAAAATAAAAGCAGGGCACAGGGGATGTTGCTGTGAGATGTCTGTGAATTGGAATGTGCATTTTCTTAACTACTGCAAAGATCCCGCGGAGTATTCTGTACCTGTGAAATCCTGCTCTCCATGGCTCCACCTAACCCCTGGCAGCTGCTTTCTGGCCTGCGTGAGAAACAAAACCACCTTTCTCTTTTCGCCTCCCTTGCTCCCCCAGGAGACTCTACCTCGCTGATGGCAGCACTGCTTTGCTGACAAGAGATTCTCCCTTTTTGGTTCAAGCAGGGAGGGACCCAACTGATAGGAACACTGGACCACACTCAGCATTTATTTGGGAGTTAAAAATCATGACTTTGGCAGGAACTCCAGTCAGTGCCCAACTTCTGATGGGTTTCAGGAGTAATCAGCTTCTTGATCTCACAAAACCTTTCTGACATATTCCCGAGCTGCCCCTATTTCGCTCCAGCCAGAGGGGGGCAGGCGGTGGTGCACTTGGGGAAGGGCAGCCGGCTACGCTGCCAGTGTCTTCCATCACGTCTAATTTAGAGAGGCCAGAGCTGTCTTTTAAATTACTGAAATTTAGGCTACTTCTGCTCAAGTCAGCTGGTACTTTTGCTCTGAATCCTTGCAACTTTGGTTCTAAGGGGAGTCCCGTGTTTCTACAGAAAAGTAGCGGGCGCTTGAAGCACCACTGCCAGTGTCTTCCATCACGTCTAATTTAGAGAGGCCAGAGCTGTCTTTTAAACTTACTGAAATTAGGCTACTTCTGCTCAAGTCAGCTGGTACTTTTGCTCTGAATCCTTGCAACTTTGGTTCTAAGGGGAGTCCCGTGTTTCTACAGAAAAGTAGCGGGCGCTTGAAGCACCACATTCTGCTCATCGTGTTCACACATCGCTTGACCACTTCAGTGGGCAGGGGAGTAGAATCTGATGGCATTTGCCATTTTTCTGCTACTCTGTTTTAACCGATCTCTGTCAAATGAATGCCAGGTAGTTTAGCCTCCAAATGGGTATTTTTAGATGGATTCATGCTACCTATCGTCCCTAGAAATATTTTCATAATCCTAGTATCTCTGAAGAGCTTTGGCTTGATTGCATCAGCTTGCAAACACTGCAAGACACATCACAGCTCCATCCCAGACCAGAAATTCTGCCTTTTATACATGACCCACATCACAAGAGACAAGTTTCCTCTCTTCCCTCATCTCTCTAAATATAAAAGAAAAAAAGTACCTTGAGAACAGTATTTGCTACGGAACACAAGAAATACAAATTTACTAGTCTCCATAATCTCTTGTTATGTGATGGAAATAACAGCAGACATGAAGTAGTTGAAAGAGCATTTTTAAATGAAATATTTAGAGTAAACCTCCATCATCCCAACAAACAAGCTGAGTGCAAGAAATGCTTCGAATAAGTCTGTTGGGTTTTGTTTTGGGAAACATGAGGGGTCTTTTCCACACAGATGAAATAGGATTTCTGCGGTGATACTGTGACACACAAACTGTTCAACAAACAATGGACTTGTGATGTTTAGACTTAGTAAACAGTATCTGCACAGGCAAAGCCATGATTTTAAAAACAGGGATGCTCTTAGGTATCTACTTTTAAATCTTAAAGAGTGTTTCTTATAATGACAGTGCCATGTTCAATACAGCATGTAATATGCACTCAGAACCCAATGATCACTGGATGGCGATGATGAGTATATGTCTGCTACATGCATTTTATTCTGACTCTATAACATACATTCATAGAATACATCATAACCACTCAGAGCAAACCACTAAAGTGCATACCCTGAGGGCACATTAAGTATATTGTCTCCAATACTGGCTGCTCAATTGCCAGAACACTGATACAGAAAGGGCTCATTTCTGCTTTATATCCCCATTTTGTGCTGAAAGAGTAAGAGCTAGCATCCCCTGCTCCCTCCATGAAAGGGAGCACTGTGGAGCAGGCTAATGGCCTGCTGCAGAAAAAGCCCTTTCGGAAAGAAGTAACCACCCTGAGAAGGTGCTGTACAGAAACGCAGGGAGCGAGTCTTGGATTAACGCTTGGGTAAGTGGACCTGTGTACTGGGTTAGGCTGGGATGGAGTTAATTTTCTTCACAGCAGCCCGTATGTGCTGTGGTTTAGATTTGCGACCAAAACAGTGTTGATAGCACAACACTGTTTTACCTGTTGCTGAGCAGTGCTTGCACAGGGTCAAGGCCTTCTCTGTTTCTCACTCTGCTGCCCCAGCAGAGTAGGCTGGGGCTGGGCTAGAGGGTGGGAGGGCACACAGCCAGGATGGCTGACCTGAACAGACTGAAGAAATATTCCATACCATACAACGTCATGCTTAGCAATAAAATTGGAAGGGGGGAGGGAGGAGGGTGAAGTTTTCCAAAGTAGCCATTGCTCGGAGACAAGCTGGGCATTGGCCTGCTGGTGGGAGGTGGTGAGTGATGGCTTTTGCATCACTTGGGTTTCTTTTTCTTTTTTTTTTTGCCTTTACTTAATGACCTGTCTTTACCTCGACACATGAGTTTTCTGGCTTTTGCCTTTCCAACGCTTTCTCCCATCCTACTGGGGGCATCAATGGAGTAGGGGCTTACCTGCCAGCCAGGGTCAACCCACCACAACCTGCAACTGGGTTTTCCACTTTTAAGTTCTCCCTTCTGGGACATGCTTTCTTAATGCAGAAAGTCCTTGGGTTACCATGCCAAGCTGAGGCCACATGTAAAACCCAATCCGGTTTTGGCAGCTGGGAGTGTGAACACGAGCTACTGGAAGGCTGAAGATGCAATTCTAAGCTGGCCATACCATATATTTACTCTAGCTGTGGAGCAGCACTGAAACTGTAGAAGTGATGGGCTGCACTCCTAACCACAGCAAGCACGGTGATGGAGTGGGATCATAGGAAAAAACCCCACCTCAGAACTTCAGCTCAGCACCTACTCCCCCTCCCATTCAGCCCAGCCCTGAATCATTGCCTCAGGAAGGTGAGAAGGGATGTGCTAAGATCGGTGGGACAAAGGGGAGCTGACGCTCTGCCACTTGGCACTCCTCTGCTCAAAGAGCAATAGAGAAATGAGAGCTAAAAGGGCAAAAATTTCTCTAGGGCCGGAAGAAGCAAAAAAAGAAGAGACACTGCTGCTCAGCTTCCAAACAGAACAGAGAGTAAAATGATGTGGAAAAAAATTAGGCAATTTGAAGTACGGCATGCTTTTTTTTTCATTTGAAATCTAGCTGATCAGAGGCTATGATGCCAACAATCTACAGAAACCAAATGCTGGGAACCAGTAATCACATTGGCTTGTTTGGTGAACCCCAGCTGTCCAGCCTGAATCTCCAGTCCTGGAGCACTGCTTGGTTCAGTGGACTTCCCAAGGAGGCAACTTCTCTGTCTCAGCTGTCTCACCTGTTCCTCCTGCAGTGTTATTCCCAGTGCAGCATCACTCTCTAGTTAGTCTAGACTTCTTCCCACAAAGCAGTCCATACACTGGCTTCAATAACCAGCTGGCCAAAAAAATATTTAATCCATCCCAACTGGCAGACCCCAGCACCTCTACTGCCAGCTAGGGATTTACAGGTCAAGCGTTCTCCTACTCCGCTATCCCCACTAGGGAAGGAAAGCAAGAGTCTAAATCTGTCCTGAAAAGTTGTCTCTTCAGACATCAGTCTTCTGCTTATCTCCTTGCACAAGACAGAGCTGGAAGAGGGCAGCTTGTAGTTTGGTTGCAAATGAACTTCAAAGAACATTCAGAATGGCCACCTGGAAAGCCTGCTTGTGGATGGAATGCCTCTTTGGCACGACTGAAAAGCTCTGCATGCTGGATATACACTCAAGAATGGTGCACACAATTTTATTAAGAACTTTATAATGATATAGATTTGTCACTTAAACATTACAACTACCCATAGAAAAGTGTCGCCTGTATCTTTTAAACACCATGTAAATAAAGCAAATTTCTTTTTAAAACAGGATAAACTGCTATAAAAATGGTGCACAGTCAAGTCATACAAAAATACAAAATTTGTTTCCAACTGCAGTTGTAGTTGCAATTGCAGAGAAAAGCCCCCACCCAGGACTTCCAGTGAGCAAAAAACACAAATTTGCGGAACTGGTCATGGCAGAAATTTGTTGTTAAAATGTGCAGAATCCAAGGCTTCAATCAAAGCACCTCCAATAAGTTCCACACAAGATGGTAATTAATTTTTCTGGAAGCAACTGTGTACATGATAACCCTACTGATCTACACAAATACCGGTGTTCAGTGCCACTGCTGCCTTAGCCACTGGTACAGCATGAACGCCTCCTCTCCACAAATTTAAGGCTGCTCCAGTGCTGCTTCTAGATAGTCTGACCTCTACACTTGCACTGAGAGGCCTCACCAGTGCTCCAGCTTGAATCCCTAGGTTGAAGCTCTAGTCCAGTTAGCACTTACACAGATGTGTAACTTACAACTTCCACGCTTAGAGAGCCCTCCTGATGTTGGCGGAGCTACCAATATGGTTCACTTAAATGAGTGTCTAAGTGCTTGCAGGATTGGATAATTCTGTCTCCCTGCCTCCCCAGCAGATATAATTTCTAAATGTATTTTTATTTTCATACCTTTCATATAGTTTTGCTTCTGTGACAGGAAAAGAATAAATCCTTTTAATTGGCTTACTGAAAGAAAACTAAACAAATTTAAGTTATCAAATGACTTCTAGAAGCAAAAGTGAAATATTTCACTATCGCCAAAAGGTAAGAGCACTGGTCAGCTACATGATACTACTTTTTTTTTTTTTTTTTTTTTTTTTTTTTAAGCTTTTGACAGCAATTTAAAAGCCTGATCCTCTGAAAGGAAGCACAGATCACTTATTAAACCTTGATAACACGAGTTGCGCATGTCTCTACGTAGACATACCTCTCCACTTCATCGCAAAGCTTCTGTAGAAGGGCTTTTCTCTTTTGAAAGATTTTCTTGAATGGAGTGATCAAACCATTGAGGCATTATTTATTTGTACAGAGCTTATACTTAGTGCAATAAGTTTAAAAATTCTGCTCTGAAATATTAACTTTACTTTAACAAAAATAGTTTTCATAAAAAAATTGTAACAAAAGGAGTATATAGCATAGACAGATCATGAATTCTTAGCAAATACACTTTTAAGCATTTACCATTACAATATGCTGAAGAATTGAATATTAGCATTCATATCTGGTGAACTTCCAGACTGAAAAGAAATGCAAATATCTAATAATAATAATAAAAAAGCACATTCTCTTATCGTTATTTGATAACTTTAGATAACTATCCTGGCAGTTACACTTCCAAAGAAATGTTTCTCTGCCCTTTCCTGTTTTAGCCACCCACTACAGTACATACAAATATGGATGAAACAAACAGGCATGGTCCCTTCACCTCCCAAAGCTCTCCGGCATTAAATGAAATGAAGCATACAGTACTTTTCTGTACAGTAGTACAGTTCATTTCTCTTCCCATCCTCAGCATCGTTACACCTAGTCGCGAATTAATCATGAGTATGGCTAAGACTGAGCTTTAACAATCTGTTACTTCACTTGCTCATCTGGGGAATCCATACCCTTCAAAGGAGCACTGCTGAAGTGTGAAGGAGGCTACTGAACTCAAGGGGAGGATAGAGGGCAACAGGTAAGAGGGGTAAGCAGGGTAAAACAGGAAGTTAATTGCATATAAAAATTATCTGTCCCCATTTTCTAGTTTCTGTTTAATAGGAGATGCAAGGGCTCCCACACACCTGAATACCTGAGGAGTTGGTTATTGTGATATCTGATACTGATAAACAAAACTGTGCCCCAGCAGGGCTGTAAAGTAAAATGACTGCTTACAAACCCGAACTGAATGAACTCTCACTGAAACCACCTTTTGAAAAACTAAATTTGAGACTTTTCTTGATTTGAAGGTTTTCCTTACATGTAACTGTCCTGAATGTAATGCAAATTTAAACAAACTAAACAAGTAAAACACTCAGCAGATTAGCAGTGTCATGGGAAATCTGTCTAAACCCAGTCATCATTTCAGATTATCTTTACAATGATACCTCCTCCAGACTGTAAAATATCAAGCAGTTAAGAATCAACTTTTCCATGACCACAATGAATAATTTAAAAAAATGGAACAATGATAAAGCTGCTTGTAAAAGCCACCCGTATGAAAAGAGTACATGTTTCACAAAAATAATTGTTAAAAAAAGTATTAAATCCCTGTTCCTTTTCTCTGATTTTGGCTCTTTATTTATATATATATATATATATGTATGTATATATGTATATATATACTGTTTTGGAATGTCAATGGGCTCCAATATGGCTGGCTAGTTTCAAGATGAACTTGCTCCAGAGGCCTAGAAAACAAAGTCATACAGCACAGTCTTAGACAAATGCCAAAAGACAAGGAGAAACTGAATCAAAGGGGTCACTGGAAACCATAAAGAAAGAAGTGTGAAAAGGTTTTGTTTGTTTTTTTTCCCTTGTGCCTTGATACAAGAACAGAAGGTCCTAAATGTTTCCTCATCTCCGCTATTAATACCTATTTAAAATACAACTGCACTCAGGGAATTTAACTTTTAGAACTAATTGCCATGTCTAAGAAATAACTGCATTTCTAAGAGACTGAAACAGAACAGTAAAGACTGTTGTTTTTAAAACAAGAAGGGAAAAAGAAGAAAGAGTAATTTTCAAACACCCAGTTTGGGGACTATAGGCGCTACTAGTACAAAGTAGGCTTATAAATGATCCTATTCCACATGTAACTGAGGCCTTTATCAGTGCTTTGGGGAAAGGTATCAGAAACGTCATGGAGGTAACTGCTGTGTCCCATCCTTGCCAGGAAGTGAGATCCTAGTATTTCAGAACCTATTCAACTGGAGTTGAACATCCCAAAATGAAAGACCACTTGAGAAAACAAGGCCCAGTCATCCCAAACAAGACTATTGCATGAGCAGCAGAACTGGGAGTAATTCAGCAGGTGACACTCGGGCTGAGCCCCAAGTGCTCAGCATCTTCTCTAGCAGTCCTAGGAGGACCTTCAGCCAGTGCCAGGCTCAAGTGCCTTGAGTCAAGTTCCTAAAAGTACAAGACCACCCTTGACTTGCAAGTACATGGTTTGCTCTTTTACAAGGTGGGGGGGATGAATAAACGTTTTAACATCCAAGCTTTAGGCAGTCAAGTACAAAAGTCTGAGCAGCACTCTGTGCTACCACTGACAAGTGGAAAACCTCTTAAGATAAACCAGTTGTTTGAATTAGAGGTTAACATAACATGTTTTTGGAGTGAAATTTTTTGTGCGTGTGACTAGAGCGTTTGCAAACCCAATTCTCAGTCATTTCAATGGCAGCTTTACATTTACAGTGTTTAGACCACTCTGAAAATCCCAGCATTAGTGTCTGTCTGAACAGCTAGAATTACTCCCAGAAGAAAACAGTAAATGAGCATAGAATTAGTTTTTTGGATGTATAAACACAGCAGCATTTAGGCATAAGCAAATTTAGAAACTGATACGCTATAATGAAATAGCAAAACACGCAAAGCTACACATCTATCCCTTCTACAGCAGGAACCCATTCCAGCTAGGTCAAAAAGTGCTCATGCAACATGGCTTCACATACATAATTTAAAAAAAAAATTCTACTGTTAGCATACACTTATTTAGGTTCCATTAGGTTAAAAAGTTGTCCCATGGTAAGGAACTGCATCAGGCCCCAAATACTCTGAGAAAGTAATGATGGAAAAATATTTTATTTTACAAAGTCATATTGCATGATGACAAGTCATACCTTGCCCAGCCTGGGTCTCCATCATACGCTCTCAGTTCTCCACCTTCCAAACTCATCCTCCTATCTGTTATCTGTACCATGTACAGCTGTTCCTTATTCCAGGCTACTCAGACATGCAATGCCTTCCTAACAGGCACACCATAAGTAAAACAGGCTGCAGAAGCATAAATGATGCATTGTTCACTGTCTGTGTATCTGACAGTGTGAGATGGAAAGAGCACACAAGAGACAAGCAACGTAAGTAGTTGGCAATAAAAACAAACAACTGGGAGAAATGTCATTTGAGCAGGTTGAAAGGAATCACTGTATCCAATTCCTTGGCACTGTATGAAATAATTTGGTGAGAGCTTTAAATGCCTGGTCCTACTTTGCAACAATGGATGCGCTCAGTAGTGTTCTTCAGGCTTTTATGGTGAACATGAGATGAACAAAAATCATTCAGTTCAGGACTGAAAAGAGGATTAAAGCCAGAATAGCCCAATGAATTCCAGAGTCACCTTATTTTGAGAGTACTCAGCAGTTGGGGCTCTCTGTGTATACCACATAGCATGCATACTAATCCTAATGAAATGATACTGCATTTGTTTCATATGACACAGTTCCTTTCATCTTACTTTTACAGGAGATGGTCTCAGCTGTGACAAAAACTCTGCCATCCAGGTGATAGGCAAGCTCACAAACAGAAAAAGCAGAACATCTTGAGTGATACAGAGAACAAAAACTTCTCCTGAAGAAGTGCAGTCAGTAAAGACAAAGAGGGAGAAGAAGTAAAAGTGAAACTCTTGGAGGATCGCCACCTCCTCATCTGCACCTACCATTGGTTTTAGCTCTCTGCCCTCAGCTCCACCTCCCCGGCCTGCTTCTTTCATAGACTTCCTACTGTTCTCCACAAACTCCTGAAAAATAGTAATAAAGTGAAAAGTGCTTTCTTAGAGCAGATTCCAAACATCAAATCTCAATACAGAACTTCAAGATGTAACTGCCCAAAATGTCAACACAACTTGCTCTTCCCTCTCCTCTTGCTCAGACTTACCCATAAAAGTACCAGAAGAGCCTGCCAAATAGCCACAAGGGTCTTCCTCATTTAATTCTAGAAGCCAGACAGGTATTTGCCTTACATGCTGTTAGAACTTTCACATTTACCACACAATGCTCTCCTTCATGAGGAAGGAAGCTATGAGGGTCGTTGCCAAAAAACCCCCAGACATCCTAGTTATTACATCCTTTTCCGTAAACTGTGTGTGACGTTAGAACTCCATTACACAGAGGCACTTGGAGATAACTACTTCCAAGGTCTTTTTGATTTCCCTAACTTCCCTCAATTCACACTCTTCAGTTTTTCACCGGATCAGAATCACCTACTCGCGAAGATTAGCAAAGGTGCTAATTCCATTTTATCTAATTTTTGTTCTTAAAGGCAAGCATTCTGTAGAAAATTTCAGTAAACTTTAGCTGCTAGTGTTTTCTGATATTGACTGTTCACTAAGGAAACCCACAATGCTTTTATGATTCATCTGCGCTGTCTTCTGGGACAGCATGCTGCATTTTACTCTTATTCTGTGCTAAAAAGTAACTCATCAGCTACCATTTTATTTATTATACACTCTAAATTCTGTAGTGTTTTACCAAAACTTTAGTGTTAAATCCTTGACATGTTTTTCCAACAAATAATCAGAAAAGAAATTTATGGTAATCAGTCATGCGTCTTCCTCTAGCCCACACATGTGGGTACGTTTTACAGGGACATATATGATGGTTGCCACTTAAAAACATTATCAAGGGAATTACCTACTCAACAACAAACTGAATGGGTTGAGGAACAGAGTTTTTACATCTTGGTCTCTAGCTAGAGTGAACAGGGAATAAGATGGGACAAACAAATAAGAACCGACTTGTGCAAAGGGCCTTGATGTGGCATCTAGGCTCCAGGACAGAACATACTATCTGTTGATTCTGTGTGTGACAGATTGAGAAGCAAATTCAGGTTCCTGTCTCTCTGAAAAAAGAAAAACTCCACTGTGGTCATTATCTGTGTGGGGGGTAGAATACTCTGGTATTTTTCTCTTCCATGTCCCAAGAGAGGTCCTTCTTAGGAAAAGTACAAAATGCAAGCCTCTACCCTTTGTTTTGCTTCTTTCCATTCTGCAGCGTATCATTTACAAGAAATGATACCCAAAGGCATGATCCTGCAAGACAGCTGCTCATCTCACAACCAGCATATAGAAGCCAATACCAGTGATGTCAAGGGAGGGAAGCATCATTACTTAGCTGATGCTCATCAGACCACACTGTCTGCTGAACAAGACAGCAACGTAACCCAGGTAAAAAAAAAAAATACAGTATTAGACTCAGCTAATGAGTTCACTCCACTCTCAAAATACCCATCTTATGAAGCCACATCCTTAGCCTTAGAGAGTAAGGGGAAACTTACCATGAGAACTTTATCCATGTAGAATTCCCTCCCAGAGCTCCCATCATTGTATTTTGTATCGATGGCAAAACATAAGAAAAGGACATCAACAACCATTTCATAAATGGAAAGGAAGCAGTGAGCAACCAGGAATGCAAAGAGGCAGACAATGATGAGTGGCAGCACCCAGATGGTGTAATCTCGTTGGTAATTCAGCAACATAATCCCAGCCAAACCTGTACTGCAGACAATCAGGACCTGAGGAAGAAAACAGAAGACAAGTCCAATAGCAGAAGCCTTTTGAATTCTTTTTGTTGTTGTTGGTTTTGGTTTGGTGGTGGTTTTTTTTTTTTTTTACCCTATGTGCTTCGTGCTCTGCCAGGGCTAGAACTAACCGTTACAGATGCTGGTGGTGATTACATCTTTACCTCCTGGATTCCCCACACCTCCGAGTGTAAATGACATGGGGAGAGGGAGGGTGGAAGGCAGGTCTTGGGGAATGGTATGTTTTTCATTTTGCTGACAGAAAAAACTTCCAAGCTTGTCTTATCTCTGTCTCATCTCCACACAGGGGCAGGAGATCAGAATCCATGTCAGGCACTTCATGTAACAGTCTCCACTACACTATGTGTGAGGCCCTAACAGGTATTTCACAGGTAGTTCAGTCTTCGGGAATAACAAAAAACCTAAACCAGTTGTTCCGGCCACTCAACATATTTAAGATTTCTGAATCTACTATTATGAACTGCAGCTGAACACAAAATTGTAAAATAGGTCAGCTTTACTGTATTATGAAAATACTGGGCTGCACTGATAGAGGAGACAGGCTGGCAGCCTAGCACTGTTTTAGCTGATGCAATTTTTTCTATGCTACACTGTTCATTTTAACATTTCTGTCACCTGTGCATTTCTCTAATGATTTGAAAGACATCTTTTCAGGGAGATGTTTCCTAACACCTTTCAGACACCTCCATAAAACCTCATTGTCTAATTTTATGGTCTCCCAAGCACCTATATCTTCATTATGTGTTTATTTCTTCTCACATCTTATTGACTTAATTACTGGATTAAAAATTCAGCCTACTGTACTCCGACTTAATAGAAGTAGAAGAATGTAATAAGGAAGACAGTTCAGTCCAAGCTGGCAGTTCCTCATAGCAGGCTTCTATACAACCTTCCAGTCCAATTTTGTCATAAATGGTGGTCAATAACGTGCCAATTTTCAACGTAAACCTGGAGAACCCTTACTAAACAGTTTAGGGGAAATGCTTCCTTTCCTTACAATTTTAGGTTTTAATCACAAAACCAATCAAAACCTCAGAACTTGTAATAATCACTTTTCTCTTGACTCCGTAAAAATAAATTCACGCAAAAGGTGTCATCATCTTCAGCTATTCCCTTCTGACCACTTTTATCTGTTTATCTTCCCTATCCTGGACAGTCCCTTCCTGATATGATGCAGCTAGATGTGATAAAGTGCACGCTAAGAAACAGAGGTTTGATAGCATTTTGTATCTGGGGTGCAAGGCATTGGTAAGGAAAGACTGCTACTATGTAGGTCAGTAACAACTGTATACAGCAGACGTACCTTTCCTAGAAACAGCATAAAATCCCCAACTGTGTTTATGGCAGCCACTCGCAAAGCGTTTTCCACTAGAATAATAAAGGCATCCTTTGCTGAGGTGCAGAAGTTGGTGCTGTTGATAGCTGTGGCTGTATATGCGTTCTGGGAAAAGCAGATTGAAGATTTACTCATGGAATGATTAGATATTTCAGATGGCGGGGGGAGGGGGGAAGAAGAGGGAGAAGATACGGTTTCTGAATAAGTCACATAAGTCATATGATGTTAATGAACAAAGATTCCCTTGAGAGCTGTTGAATCAAGCAGTGTGTACCAGCTGATAGAAGACTATATGAGGTAGAGAATTACTATTCTTCTCCTCCCTTGCTCATCATTTATGCACTAACAAGTTTATTCCAAAAAACTAATTAAACAGAATTTGCAATTTCTCTGCAGGAGGAGGTGAGCAGTGGCATAACTACAGCAATTAAATAGTTGGAAAAAACACTCTGGAAACATAAGAGTTTGAGAATCATACAAGTCCACCAAGATAATTTCTAGATGCTTCACTAGACTGCATTCAAAGTTAGCCAGGTCAATTTTCAAGGATTATACTGGTGTTTTTTTAAATGCCTTCTTCAGCTTTTATTTCTGTATTCCAACAAACAAAAAAATGAACAACAGCAAAAGGTATATTAGAGAGATATTTAGGGAGGTACTTAGCAGAGGTGGAACAACAAGCCAAAAAAATCTCTTTTACAAAGGAGTCTGACCAGGCAGTGTTGCAACTTGTAACTCTTTTTCCACTTTGTAGATGATGATGAAAATTTGATGTTATATACAGTTTTTCAATTGTGTGAACCTTAAATATTAGACCTAGAAAAGCTTGCACACTCTTTTCACAACAAACATATTTTGAAACTCAGATGTTTGACAGAGTGGACATAAGGAGGAACATCTCCAACCACTAAACTAAACGAATTGTTATAAAGTTGAGATACCACATTCACAAAGATGACTACCAGCTATTTTTCACCTCTACAAGGTAAACAAAGACTAATGCAGTGATTTGCAGTGTAATTTCAGTAATGGAGATGAGACTGAAGTACGTTCATTGAAGTTCAGTTCCAAAGTATGATACCTTATCTGTCAGCCTCTGACTGCATTCTGGGAATCACATATATTATCAGCCCTTATATAAAACTTGAACACTGAAAATCTTACCTGATTTAAGTAGGTCAGGCACTTTTCTAGACACCAAAGGCAGCAGATGCAGGCTTTGAGCATGCAGCGAGCACAAGCATTCTCCTAGGAAAGCACAGAATGTAGGAAAACAAAGATAAAGAATAAACCCAACAAATCTTAATAAAACAGTATTACTTTGTGTTTCAATAACTGCTACTCAGTTATTACTTAAGCAGTCCATCTCAGTCCCACAGTCCTTTAAAGACCAAAAATTCCAAAACAAGATTTCCAGCCCTGGCACAGATAAAATTAAATTAGCTGTAAACACATCAGGCATTGAGTTTCAGTAAGAAAATGGAATCTACTTCTCGTACTTTTCCTTTGAGTTGTGTATGAATATACATAAGAATCATTCGTGGTATCTTCACCAGAGTGATAATGAAAGACCCCTTTGCCACCGTTCCTAGGTGGTAACAAACAAGGCGATTAACAGATGCCAGAATAGGAGTAAATGGCAGATTCCTTTTCTCCCTGTTGAAAAGAGAAAAAGAATGAAGTAGAACAATCAATGTGTATTTAGTATCATCTAGAATTGCTACAAATTGTCAATAAACTAATGTGCGTAAGGAATGTATTATCCTCATACTAGCTTTCAGTGTATATTGTTCACACTGACAGTCTGAGCAAGTCACAGTTTTGGCTCTAATGCAGTAATAGGAATAGGATAAGGCATCAGTCTGTCTTAGTCCTACTAGCTGTTGGATGCATTGCCACTATCGCCAACTAGCAGCTTCCATGAAGTTAATTTTCACGAGTTTCATTAAGAAGTATAAAAAAATAGAGTCTTCATTCCATGAAACATACATCTGCGTAACTTAATACTGAGAATTTCATGATTAAAATAGGTTTACCCTGTATTTCCTTCCAAATAACTTTTAGGGCTCAGGTTGGGGGAAGCCACATTCTATTCCTTTTTGGGCACAATCACATAAAAGGCAACCCAAACACTTGCTCCTTTTGGGGTAAATGTAACTGAGGGCAGAGTCTGTAACGCAGAATACCTTGAGGTCTCTTATTGCCCGACTTGAAAGGAATCCATCCGGCTAAGGCGAACGAACAGTAAACATACATAAAACATTTCTTCACAGATAACTTCACCTCATTTGCTGTGGAAAGCTGCTAATATACAAAATAATGGGGAAGTCCAAATCATAGAATCGTCTAGGTTGGAAAAGACCTTTAAGATCATCAAGTCCAACCGTTAACCTAACCCTGCCATCCCACCACTAAACCATGTCCCTAAGCACCTCATCTACCTGT